GTGAGAAGGATCAGGAAACAGTATTGGTTTCCCAGGTGTCTGGGGCCCCAAGACTAGGAATGGCACAGGGTCCAAACTAGAGTATAGAATGGCGGGCGGGAGGCAGGGGGGTGGGGGGTGGGGTGGAAGGGTGAATGAGGCTTAGGGAGTCCCGGCGCGGAGAGCTGCGCTGTAGACTTACCCCAAGAGGCCTGAGGATAGTAGTGCCTGTTGATACTTTTTAAGACTTTATTTTCACTACTATTCAAACACATGAATCTGCTTCAGCTATTTAAAGATACATATTAATGTCCTTCTCTGTAAAGGGAGTCCCAAAGTCCCAAAACAAATCAAAACAGAATATTGTCCTGCTTGTGTTTCTGAAACTTTTATCTCATTTCCAATTTTGAATTCACATATCTTATGACACTCCCTCTAACCCCCAAGAATAAGCCATAATTAAAGCAATTCATTTATTACTAAAAATTTGAATATATAAACAAAGAAGGGGAATTAAGGGTTAACTGCTCAGAACCAATCATACTTTAAATCATTTAAAAACAACTTTACCAGCTGGGCATGGTGGCGCATGCCTGTAGTCCCAGAACTTGGGAGGCAGAGGCAGGTGGATCTCTGTGAGTTCAAGGCCAGCCTGGTCTACATAGTGAGTTCCAGGATAGCTGGGGCTACAGAGAGACCCTGTCTCAAATAGACAAAAAATAAAATTAAAATTAAAAACAACTTTACCTTAAAATTTTTTTAATTATTATTTTTATTTTCTGTGTATGAGTGTATTGTCTGCATGTTGTGAGTGCACCTGTGTCATGCAATGCCACAGAGGTCAGAAGGGGGCATTGGATTCCCCTGGAACTGGAGTTAAGGACGGTTCGTAGCCGCCATATGGGTGCTGGGATTGGAACCCAGGTTCTCTGCAAGAGCAGTCAGTGCCCTTACCCACTGAGCCAACTCTCCAGCCCCTACCTTAAAATTTCTTAATTGTTCCTCCCAATCCCACTGTCCCCAGCATCTCCTGAAAAAGCACCTTAAGTAACAAAACCCATGGTTTTACTTACCTTAAGTAGCCAAAACCCATGGTTTTATAGAAACTCCCTTAAGGACCAGCCAATATCTAGACCCCATTCCTCTCATTTTCTGGAGCCAAGGCTCCGCATCCAAACTTTCCCCCACACTGGATCCCAGAGTGCCTGATAGAGCTATACCAAGAGACAACAGCGTGGCGACAGAAAAGAGACCTTCTGAATTTCACCTGCATTAACAGCGTCTCCTCAAGGTGCTGCTCTGCCTGTGCCACCTGTTCCAGAGACCTAAGATGACATCATGCTGACTCAAGTTCTTTCTCCAACATACCACACCCTAACGTGCCCACCGCCAGTGACCGCCCTCATGGGTATGCTTCTTTAATGGGACATCCGTGATGGAACTGTAAGAATGACTTTTCTAGGAATCCTTCTTTCACCATGTGGGCAAGCTTCTTCATTTACAAAAGAAGGGGGACTTGAAGGAATGACTTACAATACAGATATAATCTGAACTCGTGACTTTTTCCCAACCTTGCAACCAAAACGTTATAATATAAACAAGCTCATGAGCCATGAGCTCCTCTGTGACCTGGACACCTGACCCTAACCCTCAGGACCCTACTTTGCCCTCCACCCAAGTAGTAATGGGATGTGCGTGTGCCTAATTGGCATCAAAGCACTGGAATCAGAGCTAGTACTGCCAACAGCAAGAAGACTGGAGAAGTCTGCCTGAAATGTGTGTGGTTTTAGGCCTGGATCAAAGGGCCAAGGTTCTCTGATGAGACAAGGGTGGATCCTAGCCTCTACTTCCTTAATCAACGCTGGAAACACTGCTTCAGAAAGAGGATGAGCAAAGCCTGGCTCAAGAGCACAGTTCCATGAGACATCTGAAGGAATGGAGGCTTTCAAAGTGCAACTCCACTCTTAAACTACTGCCAAGAGTCACACTGTGTATTTATCCAGGTATATCTGTAATGTGGTTTAGAAATGCCACCTCTAGTCCAGGAGAAGACAGACACTCACTGAGAAGCGTGACTTCTGTTATAGGTATACGGCTCACATGAGCTGTCCGTTGCTTTCCTTTTAGCTGGGACAAAATACCTGACACAACTTAGGGAAGACAGATTTCTTCTGATCACAGATTCAGAGGCTTCATCTGCCAGGCAGAGAATGCACGATAGAGCAGGGCTTGTTTAACCTGTGGCAGCGGGTAGCAGAGATCAGTGTCAGGAAGGGTCAGGACAAGACATGGCCCCAAGGACACGTGCCCCTGGGACCTTGTTCTTCCAACCAGACCACACCTTCCTCAGTCCCACCACATTCCCTGAATCTCCTGAAGCTTTAAATCCAACGATGGGTTAATCCGTTCAGGAAGGCAAGCAGAACCCTCATTATCTAGCCGCTTCCCAAGGCCCATCGGCTGCCAAGCAAGTCCCCACCCACAAACCTGTGGGGAACATTTCACAGTCAGACCAGCACACACCATCATAAGGTTAAAAAATTTCAAGTCAGACAACTTCAGTCATGGGCTGTGTGTGCTCTGACATCAGCAGGGGGCACATATTATGGCAGGAAGAGGAGAGGGTCCCACAGGGGAAAACGTACACTTCTTATCACACGTTCTAGCACATTGAGGCAACTCTCCCTCAGGCTTCCCTTGTCACTGCTGAGACATCAGAGTCAGCCTGGGCCTCCTCTCAAATCAACTGAGCTTTTTTTCATTGGCTTTACATTTCTCTTTGATTTCTTAAAAGTCATGTTTAAGTTTATCATTTATTCATTTATTTATTGTGTGTATGCATGCATATCACACAGGCACTTGTGAGCTGCCTGACAGTGCTACGTACCACACTGGACCCTCTCGGAGAACAGCAAGTGCTCTTAACTCCTGCACTCTCTCTCCAGCCCCTAAATTTAATTCTTATGTTTAGCTAGCTCCAGAGAAAATGATCACTTTCCAACAAATGGCATAAAAATGTACAAAACCCAACAAATTTTAAACCTAGCATCTTAATATTTTACTTCAAAATTAAAACGCATTAGCTCCAGTTTTAAAACATGTTGTGCACGGGACATTTAAATCTGGGTTTCCGTGCTCAGTTCACAATGACACAGATGACCTCTCTTACTCTGAACTACTCCACACAGACGTTAGAACTCTCTCTAAAATTTTGACTGAGGGTCAATCTATTAAATGTTGTAAGCTCCAGCCATATTTTGTTTTGTTTTTTTTCCACACAGACGGGGATATGAGTCAGGCATGGCAGCACAGGCCTGTAATCCCAGCACTTGAGATGCTGAGGCAGGAGCTCAAGACTCAGCCTCAAAGAGAAAAGGAGGATATGGAGATACTGGTGCAACTATGGTTATAGGCAGAGATGTGTCGTCAGGCTTGGCGCCAAGGGCCTCCATCATGATCTTAAGCATATCTCAAATTTCACACTCTCATGAGTGAACAGAACACTTACCTCTTTATAACATTTATGTTGAGATCGATTCCGCCAAACCTGGCCAGGAACTCTAGGTATGGCACATTACCTGAGCTGGTGAGCTGGATCTGTGGTCAGACAAGACAGGAGTGCTTAGAGAGGCGAGGCCTGAGCTGTGGGCAGGGCAGGGGGTGGAGTCACAGCCCTCCTGCAGAACACGAAATGCCTCAAGGACAGAGGACTTTATAGTGAGCATTTGCGGGTCCTTTCCAGTAGTCAGAGGTGGCATGCATCCTCAGGAAGGCTAGTCTGTGTTTTGGGAAAAGTCATAAATACATTCTGTGCACTTCATGACGTTTATGAGAAGCCGGGGGAGGGGCAGAGCCACTCATCTAGCTTTAAGGTAGGAAGAATTATTTTTAATTTAAAAATGTTTTAAAGTAAGATTTTGATTACATTTAGTTATGGGGGGGGTGTCACATTGCATGTGTGAAGATCAGAGGACAATGTGGGCAAGCTGGTCTGACACCAACATACTTAAACATCCCTGTTTATCAAGCACTGGTCACAACAGCCAAGATATGGACCAGCTCAGATGGCCACTAGCAGAGGACAAGGGAGTTTTATTCTGCCACAGAAAGAATGAGGTTGTGTCATTGGTAGGAAAATGGGTGGAGCTGGAAACCGTCATATTCAACGAAATAGACCAGACTCAGAAAGATGAATACAACACACTTGTTCTTACACGCAGAATCTCAATTTAAAAATAAAAGACACATCATGTCTTAGCTTTTGGGAGAAGATCAAGTGTAAAAGTAAAGGTAGAAGGGGAACTGTTTGGAAGAGGACGGACAGCAGTAGATGGAGGAGGGGACAAAGTAGGGGGACAGTGAATGTGATCAAAGTGTTTCACGTGTGCAAAAACAGAGGGATGGAGACTTGTTTTGTACAGCGAATATCCACTAATAAAGACGTGCATAGTGTATATGGAATAAGCTGCTTGTGTGTATACACAGACACACACAGACACACACACAGACACACACACACAGACACACACACAGACACACACATACAGACACACACACAGACACAGAG